TTTTTCTCTTGACCACGCCTCCCTTTGCCTCACCATGCTCAGTTTAAAAACTCAGTCCGCCCGTTGGGACTGTTTTGGGAGTGCTCCAGTTCAAGGACAGATAGGCTGGAATTTTTCCCACATTTCTTGGACCACCTTGATTCATCCTTGTATTCAGTGAATTGTGCAGGTTCGTCTTGAAGGCTGAGAGGTCACCCGGGCCATCCCTGTCACCGCTGGTCGCAAGCGGTCCAGGGCGTGCAAGCCGCTTGCCTAGCGGCTACTGGCGAGCGGCGGGGGTGGCGGGAGACACACCCAGGCATTGGATCCAGGCTCCCATCCCCAACCGCCATTCAGTGGAGGCTTGGCGGGCGTTTTCGCCACTAGCTGGAGCGGTTTCCATTCTTGCCCGGCAACAGCGGCGACCGTTAACCGCTTTGCGCACTTTTCCCTGAGGCAACTTGAATTTGGCGGGAGGAGGCTGCGCGTGCACCAGCCGCCATTTCAATTCTCTGGAGCGAAGTCGTCGAGAGAAGAAGGTTCCTGCAGCTTCGGGAGAGCGAAACTTACTCTGCAGTCAGGGAGAGACTCGTCTTCATCTCTCAGCAGTAGCAGAATGCTGCAGGGAGGAGCGGGGCTAATCCAGGGCGCTGGCTGGCCTTTCCCTCCGAAGCTAAGTCTAGGGGCTCCGAGGGCGGTGGGAGAAAGGACCCCGTCCAGCAGGCGGCCCTTCCCTCCCGAAGAGTCTTCAAGGGCGTTTTTCGAGCCGGCTGGCCAATGCGTGTGCCGGTTCCAGCAGCAGCTAGCTTCCAGGCCCTGTGGGGTGCTCTGAACATGGCTGAGGAATACAGGGAGGCCTTGGAGGAACAAGCAGGGCCCTCCAGCAAGCATAGCAAGCTGGATTCCATAACTAGAAAAGGCAAAGGGCACAAGGGTCCTAGTGGCAGATCTCTCCCAGGGACTGCAGGGACCACAGTGGAAGCCAGGGAGGTGTCTAGGCCCCACCAGGCAGTGGAACCTCTATCAGCCCCTCACCACAGGGATATTTCCCCCTCTGTTAGGGAAGCCCAATCCCCAGGGGGCAGCAAATTCATTTCGGGGGAGGAGTATGGATCCAGGGATCCCTCGCCAGAGGTTTCCTGGAGTTACCCTGATTCCCCTAGCTCTTCCATCAGGGAGGAACAAGAATCCCTTCTGGACACCCTGCGTGAGGAGTGCGAATCTAGCTCAGGCAGAGCAGGCCGCAGCAGGCCTCACAAACATCGCCCAAGGAAGGGCAAAGTTCAGGCCCTTTCGGCTGAAATGAGGGAGGTGATCTCCTTGGCCATTTCCCAAGGAATCGCGGAGGGGATCAAACACAGGGGTTCGCGAAAGGCTAAGGCCCCCAAAAAGAAGCATCAGGCCAAAGCCTCCACCTCTAAGGAGCCGGCCTCTACATCTGCTTCATCTTCCTCTAACTCTGATTCTTCCAGCTCTGAGCAGGAGGGGGCTGATGGATTTGTGCTGTCTGAAGATGAAGACCTTCCCCCTGACAAGCCGGCCTTCACTGGCCTTTTCAAGCCGTCATTGTTTAAATCGATCCTGCACAAGGCTATGACAGCTACGGAGCTAGGCCCCACTTCCAAGCCTGAGGCTGTCCAGGCTTCCACATCCAAAGATCACAAACATGGGCTGTTTAAGGAAACGGTTTCTGCCCCGGAGGTCATCCCTGTACCTGACCTCTTCATGGATGTCGTTCAGCGCCAGTGGGTCCAACCTGGCACGCTGACCAACCCCAGTGGGGGGGATAAGACTCTTTATGCTGTAGAAGGGAAAATGGAGGACATTCTGAAGTTTCCAGAAGTGGATGCCCTGGTAGTGTCCTTAACATCTAACTCTAACCTACCGGCTGAGCTTCTGGAGGGATTGAAGGCTGAGGACAAGAGGTTGGAGAAGGCGTGCCACAAAACTCACATGGCATCTGCCTGGGCCATTAAGGCGTCCACCTCTGCCTCATTTTTTACCAGGGCTACCTTGTTCTGGTTAAGGCAGCTCAGATCTAGACCAGGAAATCTCAGTGGTGCCATGAGCTCACTAAAATTATCACGGCAGTCAAGTACTCGTCTGATGCCTCCTTGACTGCTGCAAAGTTCGCATCCAGGGCTCTCGCCTCCAACATCACTTCTCGCCGCCTCCTGTGGCTTCGGCACTGGCAAGCCGAAATGAAGGCCAAATGGAAGCTGGCATCAGCTCCCTTCAAGGGAGGTCTCTTTTCGGGGATGCCCTGGACAAGTTTGTCATCGAAACCAAAGACAAACGAAAAATCCTTCCAGCAACACTTAAGAGGGGTGAGCGTAAGGGATCCGATTTCTTTCGTAAGCAACCTTACAGGAATCAGGGCCTTCGGCTCAAACATCCTCCTACCAGAGGCCCTTTCAGCAGGGGGGAGACAGACACCAGGACAGACCCTCCTTCGGGTCTCGAGCTAGGCAATCCCAGTCTTCCTTTCGGAAGCCATTCTGAGGGGGTGGCAACAATAATGGCAGCTCCCATCCCTTTCGTAAGAGGAAG